AGGAGAGAGGTAGACGGCCTGCTGTCTCAGGCTACCAGAGAGGCACAAAGAGCCCATGTGTGGGTTTCTTTGCTTGGTCCTTGCTTTCACTTGGTTGGTTTGTAATTTTATCGAGAGATCTAATTCAAAGGGGTCTGTGAAGGTTGGATTGTCAAAACAGATCTTCCCAGACACTTAAAAGCAGCCTGCTGTCTGGATGGCCTCTCACCTCCCCATCCCAGCCAACTGACAGTGTCCATATCTCGGGACCCGTGCTCTCATGGGGGACAAAGAACTGACCACACTTAGCGGGAGTTCAGACTCTTCAGGTCAGCTCAGTTGAGAGTTGTGCCTAATCAGAGACCTGCTTTAATTTGAACACATTCCCTTAGCTGTTGAATTGGTACCTGGAGCACGAAATACCAGTCCAAACATGCAGTCCCCTGTGGCCACGCCCCTCGTTCCTACCCACGTCCAGCAGCCGACTCCCAAGTCACTGGCCTAAACGCCCCCTCCAGGTGTAGCCAAGGGAGGCAGTTAGCAAGCACTTCCCCAGCCATTTTCTCTTATACTTCGGCCAGAAGCCAGAAGCCCCCCATTCTCCACACAGAGCCCCAAGCAAGCTTCAGTCCTCACACTAGGCCCAGGCGGGTGCATGCACATACAGTGGCAGAGGGCTGGGTGGAAGGCTCTCCAGGAGCCTCTTCCACACTAATAAGGGGGTCCAACCCCAGAAAAACAAAAGACAAGGTTGGGGGGAGGGAGTAAGGGGAAAATACCACTGTGATGGTTTTGCCCTCACGGTAAGACAGTCAGCCAAGACATACCTTCTGACTAGGCCCGCACAGCTGTTCACTCTTGGGGCTGCTGACAAGGTGGATGGTCTTCTCCATCGCTCCAGGGCCTTGAGCAAGTGTGGCTTTGGTTTATTTCAGGAGATGCTATTGGAAACATAAAACAAAGTGCCTGGAGGGCACTATAAAAATAGAAGAAATACGGGAAGGCTTGATCATCCAACGGGAATTTAAACGTTTGTAAAGAGGGGTGAGGGGGAGGGAAATATACTTCAAGGTGTCATCCCTTCTTCCGATGGCAGCCGCGGGTTGTTCTCACTGCCGAGTCCATGCCTTCCTGTTCGTGTTCCATTCCTGCATTTGGAAATCGCTCTTCACCAGGAGGAAAGTGAGGAAAAACCAGCAACCACGACAGCGGCTCTGCTTATGGAGAGGAGGGGCCCCGAGGTGCTGCTGGGGGCCGGCTGCTGGAGGGAGCCGCACACAGCAGCCCCGCACTTCTCCGAAACTGCTGACATTTTCTCGCAAGCGCAAGCGGGGAGGAGGATGGAAAGGTCAGGGATGAGAAACGGGGAGGGGCTGCCATGGGAGCCAGAAACTCCGTGGGGTACAGAAACTGCAATCATCTCCCACGAGGAATCCTCCTGCCTGGGTCTCCTGGAATCGCTCCTCCCCCCAACGCTTTCTTCTAAACAGGACAGTACTTCAGTTTCTCTGATTTCCCTTCATTCTCTCTCTCAAAAAAAAAGTCAGGTTCTAATAACAGTTAGAATATATAAATAATAATTTATTTAATGTAATTGGTTCTTTGTTTCCAAACCCAATATTCTTCCTCTGTTCATTTTGCCAATAAATAGGAAAACTGAGGAAATCAACTCTGCTCATGTCAAAAGAGCCCCTCCCCCCCAAAAGAGATAATTTGCCTAACTTCTCATTTCTCTGGCAAATAAATAGTACATCATGATGCCATCTCTCTGAAGGACACTTTGCTCTTTTGTTCTGTTTTGTTTCAGTAGTTTGTGCTTTGCTGTACATATTCGAAATAGAGGGAAAGGGGGACGGGATGCTGGGGGGTAAGAGGGAAAAGCAAGGATGAAGGGAAAACCTAAAGTTGTCTTTCATTAAAAAAAAAAATATATCAGAACCAGAACAATGACCAAAGTCAGAGGGTGATGGCTAACTGCCCAGAGAGTCTGTTCATGGGTTCAGCAACGGCCCTTTGTATCTGCTGTGGGCGAACCCCGGCCACTGCGGCGTCCTCGGCAGGAGGGAGGCTCTTCCAAATCGTCCTCATCAAAGCCATGGAAAGTTGAGGTGTCACTTTCTGACGTGGAACCGAATAAGTCCTCCGTGGTACGAGCTGCGGCCGCTGCCTCCTTCTCCTTCCTGCCTTCTCCTCCCAAATGAGCTGACATGTATGATGAATATATCAGCACATGGGTTAAGCAACAGACAGCATTATTAATATTCTTATTATATTATTTATTACAATGTTATTCTTCATAGCAAGATCATAAACCATTTCCACCAGAAGAGATTAACTGAGTGCATCACCTGGCGACAGAGATTTGGGGTAAAAGGACAAAGTCATCATTTCCAGGGAAAAGGATTCCTCCCTCCCTGAAAAGGCATCATCTCTACCATAATATATATGAGCACAGCTCCGAGTGAGAGTCACCCATGACGTTTGCATTTCCTCTTCTGTACGCGCGTAGCACACGCGCGCGCGCACACACACACACACTCACTCACTCACCCAACCCCACCCAGACGATGAGTTTACTTGGTGGATTTTAAGCCTGGTTGGTATTTCTTTGGTGTTTTCCATTGGTGTTTCTTTGCACAATGTTTGTCCTTCACTTTGACAGTCAGCTCTACAAAGGTATTACTGTCAGATAACCCGTTCAAGGTGGTTAAGCCTCCATCCATTTTATTTTGATTTTTACCTGTTTCTAATCCCATTCTTTCAGTACCCTTTCATTTCTGCCCTTACACCATGTAGTTCATTTGCACTGAAAGCAAAAAGAAGTTGAAAAGTCTGACAAGTGGTAGGTAAAAAGAGTTTCTCGTTTTCTTTAATCACGGGAGAACATCACTGTGATCTGCACCCACGCAGTATGCATACAAATACATGTGTGTGTGCATACACATGCTCGTGCGTGCACACACACACACACACACCAGCCACTAAACACGCCCAGGTTTTCAGTGCCCCAGAAAGTCCAGAGTTGTCAAATCTAACTCAGAGCACTAAGGAAGTGAAAAATAGGGGTTGTATCTTAAAATTTGTACAACTCGGGTTTAAACTATTTACATTCTCAATAGGCCCTAGGATGGCCCCCAAATAAGGTCATGATGTACCACTTATGGTGCCAGTATCAGGAACCTCCTTTTCTCCCAGGAAACAGAGGTAGTGGGGTGGATTGGAAGGGAAAGACAGCTCTTCCAAGCTCCACACCCTCCTTGGAGAGACTCTGGGGAGGCCCTGGAATAGTATTCATCCTGCCTTAACCAGCACATCCCATGAGCTAATGCCCCCTGTTCATGCCCAAGGTATCTATCCGCTATTTCAGGACAATCAAAGTCAGACCTTGACTAAATTATCCACCAAACTTAATCCTTGGCAAATGCACTGAGAACACCTAGGCTGGTATAAATGGTCTCCTGAGCCACAGAGCAGACAGATCCTGGGAAGGAAAGGCTGAGGAAAGGCTGTGAAGAGAAAGGCTTTGGACAGAAGAAAAAGACAACTGCCCACTGCTGGTCCCCGTGAGCAGAGTCCAGTCCTCGTCTTTTGTAGGGAAGGAAGGGAATCAGCATCTGAAATGAGGATTCTGAGGCTGCCCTCTCTAAGGCGTCCCACCGTGGTCCCTATCGTTCGGCCTAGAATGTCACACCAAGTGACTTTGCTTCTGATGGATTGTTCACTTTTAAAAACACTGAATTGTATTCCATTTTCCTTTTAAATATCTAAAACCCAGAGTCTACGATCGCACGGGCCCCCTTTTCTAAGCTGGCACCAGTAGAGTAGAAAGTTCAACACTGGGTGTCATGTCTGGAAAGTGAACGAACTGACAGAATTGCAGACTGGCCACCCCGTCAGGTCCTCGGGCGTTCAATGCTGAGAGCTGCGTGCAATGGAAACCAGCCCTTTTCAATGACTGATTCGCTACTCAATTCAGTCTCGAACCCTAAACAACCCAATAGCCAACTATTTTTTAAAAATAAAAGGACTAAAGCGAAGGTCTGTGGACAACGCAAAGAGCCGACTTGCTGCAGCAGACCCAGGTGTGGTCGTCTGGGTCCGGCTCCTGGACCTGGGCGCAGAGAGGACCCGGGGCAGACGTGGGAAGGGGCAGGGCCGCTCACTGCTGGGACCACCGCCCAGCGGAGCTGTACTTCACCTGCTGCAGTCAGTGACTGAGTCAGTATCTCTTTGGCCTAGTGATAACATAAAAAAGATGAAAAATAGGTGGTGCCAACCAACCACCACCAGCCAAAAGTAACGGTTTGTTTAGAACTGAAAAACAACCAACAGCTCGAACAAAACTTAAAAAGCTGAACTCATTTTAAGAATGAAAGAACAAGATCAAAGTCTTTTTTTTATTTTAGTGTTTGGGTAGGTTAAAGGTGAAAATTTCAAAACGTGCCGAGTCAGCTTCGGACGAGCCCTGGGAACGCCTGCCCTTTTCCTCCTTCCTCTCAGGGCCTCTTTCGGTTCCACATGAAAAACGGGATGAGTGGCCAATGGATGTGGTATTCACGCCACTCCCAGCTCGGGGGTCTCTGACGCCCAGTTCAAGACGTAGCGGCCTCCCGATATGCACGTTTCCACCTTCGTCCAGCATCCCCAGGCACTTCCACAGAACAGACACGGCTTTTGGTTACACGCACATCACCGATACCAGAGCGCGCTGCCTGTGCCTCCAGGTGTCCCCACACTATCTCACTGTCGTCCACAACACACACAAAGAAATATCCGCTTCGTGAGAAGGCCAAACACAAGTCCACAATGTCTGCTTTCCCTTTTCCCTGGATCCCAAGGCCTAATTTTTGTTTCTTAAGATTCAAAGAAGAAAAATATCCAATGACCTAAAAACTGCTCTCCACTTGAGATCACCACCACCACCTCCTCCACGCCACCCGTCACCCCCGAAGGCTGGCAGAGGAGTGCAGGTGCGGCGGGCCCTGGCCTAGGGCACGGGTGCAGGAAGGGGCCGCACTCACCGGAGCGTCCGCAGTCTGCGCAGGACACCAGCTCTTCGGGCCGCCCGCTCTTCTTGTTCATGGTAGAGCCCCCCAAGCAGAAGTCACAGTAGTTATTAGGAATGACTGTCCCGTCCGGTCCTTTCTGGGCTGTAAAAACATTTTATTTAAAAATCCAGTTTTAGGCTGAGATACATGTTCTACTGGCCCCTCTTCTCCCACAGTGTGGCAAAGTCTGCTCCAGGAAGAAAACAAAGTTTAGAACCTGAGGTTTTGTTACAACCAAGTGGTTAACTTGGGCTGTTTTCTTTTTGACCCTCCTCAGCTTAATAGTACCGATGTTTTGCAAGCCACCCAGAGTTCAGTGTGATCATCGCAGTATTTCCCAGTTCTGTGTTTTTGTAGAAACGAGCCTGCTTTCCTGATCGCATCCCTGGATGAGCGCAGCATCCAGAATGCCTCCTAGTCAAGCGAACCCTTCTCATCCCTGAACAACCGCTCTCGGGGCCAAGGCTCCAAATAGCAGATGGCAGTCATAAACAGTGGTGTGACTAGAGAGAGAGAACAGTCCATGCCTAGGCTTTGCCCTTGGGAAAGATGCTTTTGTTTGCCCTTGGGAAAGATGCTTTGTTCCCTGGAAAGGGAAACAAAGAAGCGTTCGTTGATGGGTGGTCATCGGCCAATGAAGATGCTCCTGGGGACTCTGATGAACACCTTGACAGGTAGACAGATGTTCACTCTTGTTCAGCTGCATCTCCCTAAAGTCCAGACTCACCGGTCATAGAAAGCATCTGGCACTAGTTAGCAGACCCCAAGTGCCCAGAATCAGACTGGATACTAAGCTGAGCCTCATGCCAGAGATGGATTGAACAGTGAGTAAGTGAGCATGTCTAGAGGCTTAAGACCCTCATAAACCACCCACAATGAAAGCCCTATACAAAAGCAAAGAAAAATCTTGGGACGTGATCTTAAAAACAAAACCTTGTGAGAACAGCACAGGTCCTCGAGCACCGAAACCATTCAGTTTGTTGTCTGGGTGTAAAGCCTTGCACAGGTTCTTCGCCTGGGGAGACACACGCCCATTTTCCTTTGTTTTTCTACCCCTATTGTGGACATTTCTTTGTCACATTAACACTCCCTGTTTGTGACTAGGAAGAAAAGTCTCTCCATTTATGGGATCAACCTAAACCACGGGGGTATCTTCCTCCTCCTCGGTGTACCCAGTGTCTGCTATCTTTCATTATTCACTGGCTAACATTAATCAGGGTCCCGTAGGGTACAAATCTGTAAAAGGAAGCAGAAATACCATCCAGACAGTAAGTGATAAACGGATTCACCCACTCTAATGTGATTCCCTCTGGCCTTAGCTTCCTCCATGCCTCTGCTTTGCCTCCAGGAATAGAAAAACTTACCTGGGAAAGGCAGAAAACAAAAGCTTGCAGAATTACATTACAGAGGGTTAATCCATTTATCAGTTGCTATTTGGATTGTTTAATCAGTTTCTAAGTCATTGATTTTCATCTTCAAGGAGGCAGACAAATCTCTGCAAGAAAAATGTTGGCTGCTTGGGGGCGGACAGAGGAGCTGGCCACACCCTGTGGCCTGCTAAGTTTCCGTTTTCCTTCATCAGTCTCTGTATCGCAGACATCTGCATGTCATACCGAATGGTTTTGCAAATCTCCAAAAATCAGTACATCCACAAAAATTTTACTCTGTCTATAAAATTTTCATTGCCCAGATCCAGAAGGAAGCCTCTGTCTTCTCTCTCTCTTGACTGCCACCTTAGCCATGTTGAGAACTCTCTTAAGAAAGCCCAGGCTTGTCTACGAGGCAAATAAACTCAGGGTTTCCTCACTCAGAGACTCTCATGGAAATCAATCAAAAGGTGAACAGAAAGAAGTGGGTTATATGAAATTTAGGGGCTGAGTGTAAACCAAAGTTAAATTTCACGATTGGTATGAGCTAAATACAAAATGCAGATGCCAGTCACAACTTAGGTACCTTCATGCATGAAAAATCAATCAAATAATCTCAAGTGTTATCATTTCACTAAAACTCTCAGGAGGCCCCTGTCTCTCTCCTGTTCTCTTAGGGACTTTCTATAATGTCAGATTTTTCTCCCCTTTCACAAAATCTTGAAGCAACCAAAGAAGCTGGGTTTTCTCCAGCCCACTGCATCACTTGTGATTTACGAGGACGAAGTAGAATATAGAGTATAAGAACTCCCAGATAATTCTTTCGTTTTTTTACCACCAGCAGACCATTGGTAGAATGCCCCCATTGAATCAGGGACTCCAATACTGCAAGAAATGAAAAATTCAGAAATAATCTAGTAAGAGCAAAGAAGACAATGATGGAGAAATTGATCCTATATAAAAAAAGACCAAAGGAACAGAATTTAACAATTCATCTGATAAAGAAGTTTCTGGGGAGGCTGAAACAGAACAGGGTCCCCACATATACTTGTGTTGGTTATTGGCCATACAAAGTGCCAGGGCCAAAGGGGTGAAAACGTGCTATAATCTTTGTAGGCCTTGGTGTACGCAGTTGTGACATGCTGGTGGGGGGAGGGGGAATTCCGTTTCAGTAGTGTGATGACCCAGCATAGGAAGTAATGCTGAACAATTATACTTCATTTCCAGTAAAATCCTTTTTGCTTCAGTTCATACTCTCTTCTCATGACAGTGAGCTCAAAGCCTTCTTCCATCTTGGTAAATGGCATGAAATAGACTCATCCATAGCCTTTGCATCTGGTTCTCATACACTTTTTGGTATTTAAGATCAGTTTCAGGGTGAGAAATCTCCCATGGAGCTCTCCCAGTTCCCCAGCCAGAAATGACGGGTCAGGCTTTGGGGAGGGCACCCCACTGACCACACTTCTAAGGATGCTTCTTTGTTTATACATGGGTACACCTGCCTCACCTCCCCATAGTAAACGATCTACCCCTTCAGGTCAAGGACCATGTCTAACACATCTCTGGAACACCTGCGTGCCCCATGGACAGGAACTGGTTAACATCATGTGGGATGAAGGACTCAGAATGGCAGAGATGTAAGTAGGCAACACAGTGACACCACCTCGGGACTTCCTAGCAGGGATGGAGCACCATGTTTGCTTTCCCTGGGGCAGAGTTTTCTGTTGCTCTATCATTCACTGCCGGTTTATTTCCCTGGTCTTCAGAGAGCAGAGCTGGTCCATGTCCAGGGAGACTGGTCAGCCATCCAGCCTGGGGTCATGTCTAACTCCCAGAGTACACAAGATGGGTGGCTGCATGCCCTTTGCTGGGAGAACAACACGGTGCCCCACTATGGTAGGTGAAACACCATCTTACGCACAAACATGCAAGAAAAGTATATAAGACCATGTGCTCTGCTCTCTTTAGAAGGGGACAAAGGATGCGCCTACTTATTCTGCCTCCCTCTTCTTCAACTTTTCTCAAAAAGCGTCAAATGTTTATCACAAAGCACCCTGGCCAGTTTGGCTCAGCGGTTAGAGTGTCGGCCTGCGGTCCAGAAAGACCCGGGTTTGGTTCCCGCTAAGGGCCTGTACCTCAGTTGAAGTTTGTCCCCAGCCCTGGTTGGGTCGTGCGGGTGGCGACCACTCGATGTGTCCCTTTCACCTCGATGTTTCTCTCTCTCTCTCTCTCTCTCTCCCCCTCCCTCCCTCCCTCCTTCCCTCCCTCCCTCCCTCCTGCTCTATCTGAACAAAAAATGGAAAAATGTCCTCGGGTGAGGATGAAACAAAATGTTTATCACAAAGCAGTGATGAATCTTACACTGGATGCTTTACATCGTTATTCACTGATCCTCACCAATCACTCTGTGAAGTCAGGGTTATCTGGCAGAGGAGGTACCTGAAGAAGCCCAAAGCGGTCAAGGGGCTGGCTCCAGGAGGCACCGCCAGGTTAGCTGTGTCCTAACACTTCTCTGCTTCCTGGGAGTTCCAGAGGCAGACACTTTCTGGCCAAATTTCGCATGTGGAATATTTCACATATCTCTTAGTGAGCTTGATTCCCCTAACACGTTCTTTAGGAATCCCAAGCAATGAACACTGAGATCGGCCTGGTAACAGCAGAAATTCCCTAATGTCCCCATCACAGGGATCCATCCTGGGTGACCCTGCGTATTGTCATATACTCTGTGAAAAACAAAACAACAACTACAAAAACACACTTCTCAGAGAACTCAGGAAGGAATGTTTTTAAGTAAAGCTCACGCCATGGCTTTATTGGCCTATGGCCTGACCCAGTGTGAACAATTTCCTGGTACTGTATATGAGATCATTAGAAAAAGGATTTTACTATAAATAGGAAGCTTGCCCAGACCATGCAAGTGGGATTTAAATAGAGATTCTGCGTCTGCTTATGGGAAATTGAGTCCCACTTTATAGAAGGAGACGACAGTGAGGGCAAAGGCCCGAGTGGTATCTTGGTGGCAGCGCCCGCAATGATGGATTTGGTTTTCTGTTGATTAATGTTCATGGGCTGAGATCATGTAAGAGGTACAAGGAAGCTGCTGAGGAAATAAAGTGAGCCTTAGAGTTTAGGAATTTACCTGAGCAGATACTCTAAAAATCTCAAAGGGAAAAAAAAGAATGGAAATCAAGAACAAAGTTCATGAAGAAGGGGCGGGAGGATCAGAAGGTGGGGAGAGCATGTATATAAATCAAACCAAGAGAAAGGAAAAGGAAAGCCAAGCCCCAAATAGTCCCACCACCACACTCAGCAAAGGGCAAGCAGTCAGTCTGCGGGGTTTTCTACTTTAATCGGCCACATCGATGGCAAACAAGGCCCCGAATCTTCCATAAAACCACCACTCAAACAAGGCTGTCTTTCTGCCGTTGGTCTATCTCTGCTGCAATATGCTTGCCACCCTCAAAAAGAACAATGGCGGTTCCCTGGCCGGTCTGGCTCAGCGGTTAGAGTGCCGGCCTGTAGACCAATGAGTTGCGGGTTCGATTCCGGTCAAGGGCACGCACCTCAGTTGCAGTTCGTCCCAGCCCTAGTTGGGCCGTGCGGTAGGCAACCAGTTGATGTGTCTCTCTCACATCGATGTCTCTCTCTCAGTGGAAAAATATCCATAGGTAAGGATTAAAAAAGAAACAAATGGCAGGGACAGCCTGGCCACCAGCCACAGCCCCTCGCCTGGCT